TTTTTGTATTTCAAGGTATAATTTATTTGTCAAGCTCATATTAATGTGTGTTTTGATGATTTTAATTTATTTTTAAGAGAGACAGTTCAACAAATTCTTGCCATTAGCGCAATTGTACAATACAACATGTACAGAAGGACATCCACAAGTGGACATCCTAATCCTAATAGGACATATACAATAAGAAATCTACAATAAGATATTCTGCAATAGAACATCTACAATAGGACATCGAGCAACAGGACAGTACACAAGGACATGAAGCTATACAATACCCCCCCCCCCCAATACAATCCCCACCACCCATCAGCTACGTGTACTCGTGTTAGTATCTCCGACACACCACCATCAAATGTTCACACACCAAACGAATCATAAGAGTCGGGTGTGTGTCTTGACCTCTTCTGAACCCCCGAGAATGACTTGCCGAACTCCTGGGGTTCGATCGAACCTGTTTAAGAACCACTGCTTTAAATAAACGTCTACTTTTTTGTGTTTAAATATACATCTTCGTTTTTATGTTTAAATAATTATACTCTACTACTTTTTGAGTTTAAATATACGTCCTGGTTTTTTGTGTTTAAATATACGTCTAATATTTGTGTTTAAATATACGTCTACTTTTTGTATTTAAATATACGTCTACTATTTGTATTTAAGTATGCGTCTAATTTTTGTGTTTAAATATACGTACTTTTTTGTTTAAATATAGTATACTTTTTGTGTTTAAAAATATACGTCTAATTTTTTGTTTAAATATACGTCTACTTTTTTTTTGGGTGTAATAATATACGTCACTTTTTTGGGTGTAAAAATATACGTTTACTTGTTTGTCAATGAATTCAATAAAAGCATTTCTTGCGCCTATTCACTACAGCCCCTTAGAAATTTTCATTATGCTATTGACTGAAAATATTTATACAAGTACATCCTGAAGAAAAAGTTCCAGTATCAATGAGATATCGGTACTTCCTGAAATAAACTCATGCTTTTCTCAGTGCCAAAATAGTTATCAGAAAACTCAACCAAGCGGAACTCTATCCGGGTTGGACCGTATCAAATCCGCAGTGTGAACGTACCTTAAGGCTGCATCTCACGGCGTGAAAACGAGAAACTGGATTCTAGGATTGTTTTTCGCGACCTTGAAGATCTGATAAAAGGTCACACGAGGGATTAATCTCGAGGATTGAAATCACGTCAGATCTGGTGGTGTAGACTGTTTTAGTGGAGTCACGCGCCTACGTGGTGGGGGGGGGGGGGGGGGGGGGGGGAAGGGAAGGGAAGGGGGGGGAGGGTAGATGAGGTTCGCAGTTTCGTAATGATGTGCAACGATGAGAATGGGGGGGGGGGGGCTTACGAAATTCGACTGAATGTAAAAAAATTTAAAATTGAAAATGGTAAACGAGCATGTATGGGTGTGTGTGTGTGTGGGGGGGGGGGGGTGTTATGTGACGTGGCGATAATTTTTTTCTCATTCTAGTGTTTCGGGTCTACGTGCGAAAGATATATTGAGAAAGAACGGGATGGTGAAAAAATTGTCGGATAAAATTTCCTTGACGTCAGTTAACAACGACCCCGACAGTGATCGTGACAATGAAGACCCCTAATGTGACTGTGACATCAATCAAGGACTACTCATTTGTATCCTTTAAAAAAAGGACGACCCCTTATGTAACCGTGACAATACTTAAGGCATCCCTAGTTCGGAAGGTACCAAAGACGACCCCTCATTAACCGTGACAAAATGACGACCCCTAATGTAACCATGACACCACTTAAGGCGACCCCTAATTCAGCAGAGACCAAAGACGACCGCTTAATGTAACCGTGACACTACTTAAGGCGACCCCTAATTCAGCCGTGACTAACGACGGCCTCTAATGTGGCGTTGACGCTACTTAATGCGACCCCTAATTCGACAAAGATCGAACACGACCCCCTACTGTGACAGTAACAAAAGACGATCCCTAAAATAACCGTGAACAAAAGACACCCGCCTAATAATCCAATTAAAATTAGCATAGATTAAGCCATTAAACAGTAGAGCAAATCTTCCTGGTAGATTTCATAGAATTAGATAAGAGATAAACTCGAGCACTGGTGTTGTGTACAGCTGTAGTCACGCTTGTTCATATCTGGGCGTGTAGTCAATTTTAGACAGATGCATTACAGCGGACAGATATTGACAGATGTCAATGTTTGTTGAATGAGATGCATCTAATTTATTTATTTTGCAGATAAGAGTCGTTTTTAAAAATTTCAGCTTGAAAAGATCACATATTTTCAACAAGTTACGATTAAAGCAGTAAGCTACATATTTTTTCTTGTATCCTCCTATTTAAGGAGATATATAGTAAGTTTTTAAATTGCACAAATTTTACTTACTGTATGCGTTGTTGTTTTTTTTTCAAATATAAAAACGTCAATCGAAAACCATAACATCGAATTTTTTTTCCAAAAACTTTTCAGTATAATTTGAAACACTGAGACCTACCCATACGCTAAACACAAACGATTAAAAAGCATATAACTAAGCCCTTTAATTATTTAATTGTATGTTTGAATGAGATGATAATTACATATTTCCCATAGTCCAGCGACACTAGCCAGTGGGCATCCTACACCTAGCCTCACGTGATCAACCCTTTACCCACGGAACTGATTCTTTCACCCAGTGTTTTCTTCCAGAATATGGATGGGGGGGGGCGTGAAATTTTCGGGGGCGGGGGAGATGGACTAAAATTTCCGGGGGGGGGGGGTGGACACTGTTAAAAGTTTATATTTTGTGGATAAATTCCATTTTGTTGGGGGGGGGGGCAGAGTTTCTTCCAGGCATCTCTTCGGGGGGCATCGCCCCGCCCGAAGAAAGTCTACCGCCCCCCCCCCCCTCGAACGAAATGGAATTTATACAGGAAATATATACTTTTGACAGTGTCCGCCCTCCGGAAATTTCAAGTGCACCCCCGGAGACAAAAGTCTGGAAGAAACACTGGGGGGGGGGGCGGTAGACTTCCAGATGCCTGGGAGAAACTCTGCTTTCACCCCCACCCCACCTTCCCCCACATACCCCCATCCCTACCAACAATTCTACACAAAGCAAAATGTAATGTTGACAAAACAAATCCAACCCTATGTTTACCAATTATTAAAGAACTCGTTTGAAACGGGAGATAAATAAAAACATTTTTTTAATCACATGACACCACGGGACTCGACGGTGACCTACTTCCCTAAGGGGAATCCCCTTCTGTGTCGTGTTTCCCCCCATATCTTAAAGTTATGAATGGAGATTATTATTTTAAATATTACTATAATGTATATTTTTTTTACAGTAATGAATTAGGGCATGAAGATGAGGAAGTAATGTTTTATAGAATGTAGTACACGCACGATCTTAGAAATCAGAACCAGCCTATAATTTCTATGTAGACATGTTACAAGTTTTTTTTATAATTGGAACATACAAAAAAAGTATTTATTTCAGATTACATTACACTTTTTTAATTCCTAGAATTGTGTTCAGATAGCCTATATTAAAACTTATTTACAATAGAAATTCAGAAAAGCTTATCTATAATAATATGAAGCTACATTTGAAATGTAAGAATTACTTCTGATTAAGGACTAGCAATAGTTACATTACAATGTAAGCACGACTTACACTATCATTCCATTACACGCCTACAATGTAAATTGTTGCACCAGAACTGATACATGCAGTTTATGTTTTGTAAATCACCCCCCCCCCCACACACACACACCAGCACACACACACACTGTCACACAAAGTAATTGACCTCTTCTCCAGATTTAGCAGTAACTGATATCAGCGGTACCGACACAGCTTAATTAGCTTGTGGCAAAAAAAAATTAAAAAAAATTAAAAAAAATATATAAAAAATGAGCCCAAACCCTAATCCAAAATATAGCTTAAAACCATAGCTATGTCATTGGACATCGTGTGTTTTTCGTTAGGCTATTCATGTGATTTACTTTGTCTATTATTATTATTGTTGAAGTACATTAATGAAACGTTTCAATTGACGTCACGCCTCTGGGTACGGGAGGGGGTAAAAGTGGACTGACCCGCCGATCTACCGGGGAAAATCCCGGCAGTCGCTCCACCCCCCTGGAACGGTGCCGTATTAGACCTAATGGTACTTTGATTTTAAAATAAAAATAATTTGTCACTTGAATTTCCATCAACCTGAGGACTGTCAAAAGACTTTGTTAAGGGATAATGTGCAACGAAAAAAATTCAATCTGTGGTTGGGGGCCCCTATTATAATTTCGCGGGCCTTTTGGACACAGCTAGTCGGCCCTTGGAGAGGGGAAGGGGGGGTGAAAGTCTGACTTAAGTTTTGAGTGTCGAGGTTGCCCGGGCTACGAAAGTCTAGAGGCACACTATAATATTTTTTTTAAAATTACAACTCTATTTTGCAGTTGTTTTTTTTTTTCTGCATTTTATAATTTTCTTTCCTTCTCTTGTAAATTTTAATAATACCATATCTGAAGAAAATCTAAAGGAAAATAGTACCTTTATTTTAAAGCGAAATTTCAATATTGAGGTGTGTCTGTTTTTTTTTTCACAAATTAGATGACGTCATATATAAACGTCCTACTTATGAGAAACCTTAATTAGGAAGTCCTTTTGTAAAATACGTGTAAGTACCAGTTGCTTCAACTAGCCATACGACACGGCAAGTTACAAATTGACCATTTCTCGTAATGTTTAGTATTTAGTTGGCCACTTGATAATATATACTTGCAATTAAAACAGTCGTAGTTCTATATTCAAAGTAAAACATGCGCCATCACCCCCCCCCCTCCCCCTTCCAAATTTAATTATGATTCCAACTCATATTTCCAATAAAGTCTAAAATTATCCCAATTCTACTAAAAATAGCCTGGGAAAACCTAGTCTAGCGCCTTTCCTTTAACAGCCCATTCAGAGGGGTCCCACCGCAAAACGTAACGGCCAAGACATAACTTCCGGGTCACGATTCCAGCACATAGTTCTTACACATCCCGACACCACCCCTAGATAAGACTGGTCTAGCATTCTATAGTAAGTACTTAAGTCTAACTTCTTGTATTTTTATAATTATATTTATTAAGTACAAGCATTAAGAATAGCTATATTTTGCAGTACTATATAGATCTAGTGCTAATTGAAATATATTTTCGTATTAAAATAACGAAATACTTAGACTACGGGATTTTAATTTTAAAATCTTTAATTCAAACCAAGCTATAAATAGCACAATCGCACGCCGGTGTATCAAAAACATTAACTGAGCCGTCTTGTTGTTTCGCAGCCGTGCTAGACGTCACACGGTGTCGCCGTGTCGGGATGAGAATCAGCTGACACGGAGCCCTTGATGTGTCGCCACAATTACCGGTAAGATAACGGGCCTCTGCGGACAGACAACTTGGCCAGTCTCGGCGTACAGACACCTTGCCAGGAGCGATTTTAACAAAACAACATCTGCAAGTGTGTGAACTATTTTTCCGAACAGTGGTGTAGCCTAATAAATTAAATCAGGCAGTTTCGACACGTGTTGAATAAACACGCTAACAACACAGAGTGTTCGTGATAATAGATTTTAAAACGAAACAAGTGTTGTGTTCAAGTGGTGTTGTGTTTAACAAATAAACAGTGGCTGCTCGAAAGGTGTGACCTGTTTAACCGTCATCTAGACCACAGGTAAGTGAAGCTAAACAATTCGTGTTTACGATGAATGTTTATTTTAATGTTACAACAATACATAGATTCTAAGTGTTGTTGTGTTCACTGTGCTCAGAATGCTATCTGTCATATATAATTATAATTGAGTGGTTTATATAATAGTTTACTACACCGAATTATTATTGTATTATTAAAGGGAAATCACTCTCTCGTTTAAACAAACTTTTTTTTGTTGTTGTTGTTATACTTCCAATAATTTCTTTTGATATACACCCAATACAAGTAGTACATTACCAATTATTATGTTAGGTTATTATGTCAGATGTAGCACATCGTATGTGTGGGTGGAGTTGGTTCATTTTGTCACCGGTCTACTGTGTCACATGGGGTAGGGTCGCTAATAGTCTCTCATGGATCAACGACGTTATTAAACGTTGTCTTTAATTTCCTTACAACTTCTCTATTTTATAATGTTTGGATGAGTTATTTGACCTAACTGGATCAAATTAGTACTGTGCGAATGTTACTAATCAGCATTTAACAAGGAATGTTAGCTTTCCCACTGAGATCCGAACTCGAGACTTTCGGGTTGGCAGTCGAGCGCACTATCACCCAACCACATCATTCCACAACATATATGTAGTACATGCACCTTATCAAGTAGTGATATGTGTGCCTGAATGGCTGAGGGAGGGGGGGTTCCTGAAATGTTAGATAATAATAGTTTTATTCTGTATGGAGAATTATCTATAGCGGTACTTTAAATATTTTGGTCTGTTGCACCAAGTAAAAATGTGATGTTTTTGAGTTATGTAATACTAAAACGAAGATGTATTTATTTGTTGATGAGTGTTACTAAACCATTCACTTAGATTACAAGCATTTAATTTAATATTGAATCACTAATGTATATAACAAAGAAAGCGATGTAGTGCTACTTTGTATAAACAATGCTGGAATGCGTATCGTTGTAGACATAAATCTGGGGGCAGGAACACACCTGCTCATTGAATATTCCTACCTGAGACGGTGGGTTACAGGTTAGGGTCGAGAGAACAGCTGAACCGTGACGTTGTTGCTGTGCATTCTGCATCCGTCACTCATCTAAACCGGATCGATCTAGATCCGTGTCCGTCACACACAGCAGCACCCTCTGCATGACACACTGGCACGGTGAACTTGTTTTACATACACACACACACACACACACGTACACACACACGCACACATACATTGCTTATACATACATAATATATATATATATATATATATATATATATATATATATATATATATATATATGTATATATATATATATATATATATATATATATATATATATATATATATATATATATATATATATATACATACACACACGTACGAGTGGAAGAAGGGAGCGGGTGGGGTCAGTGGAGGAAGTAAGGGAGCTAATACGTATAAAAATACGTGTGAAGATCACTAATAAGGAAGTTATCGTGTAATCTCTAGCCCTGTACACACCAAGTATGTAATCAAGGCTAATCGACGCACACGGAAGATATGCTTTACGTATAAAACACCGGCCGGGTCCTATCTCAGAGATAAACTTTAGCTGTTCTCTAAAATCAACGCCTAAGGATAAAAAAAAAATTGCCAACATTTCACAAAATCAAAAGTACAATGGAGAAAAATGTCGAATCAAAACAAAAGACGTGGGCAGTTTACGGTTAAAACCTGCAAAGTAGCATTGTACTGCTTCTATTTGTACGGCAGTCGTTAACTTTAGACATAATTCATCTATCCGTCCCCAAATCCACAGGAAGGTTGTTTTGTCACTACTGTGACTCTTTTATAATACCTTGCCATTATGCCCGGTTATCGTCTAATGTTATAGATTATTTCAAAGGACAATCCGCTCCAGTCGTAAAGTCATGTTATTTATTTATTTACTTATTTTTTTTTGGGGGGGGGGGGGTTGGGGGTGGGGGGGGGGGGGGGATACGCGTTCCATAGATCAGTTAGCTAATGAAGAAGTCTTCGAAACGATGACTAATGCCGTTGGTCCCTTAGTGAGTGTGCTGAGCATAGTCAAAACAAGAAAGCTAAGATGATATGGGCATGTCATGCGAATCTGTGGCCTATTTAAAACACTTCAGCAAGGAACTGTGCCAGGTGGTAGAGGAATGCAAACACTTCAATGGATGGAAGACAATTGGGCGGGGCTTTCCCTTACAGAACTACTCACAGCAGAAGAGAGTTGAGACAGATGGAGACAAATAATTAGGAAATCTACTGTGTTTCGTGTCAGAACAAAACCAATACAGTTTAAGACATGATTGATTGATACATACCATAATTTGGTTAATACAAAGCGAAAATTCTTATGAATACATTTTTAAGTATCTATTGACATTGAAATTAATGACGTAAGGTTGCTATTAAAAAATATCGCATTATTGAGAATTGTTTTCGAATTATATGTATATGGTGAGGGGAGTATCCTTTATGTATATTTTGTAGTGTGGTGGGTATAGAGTAAAGTTATTTATATATCACTGCTTTTGATTTTCCTAAATTCATTCTTTTGCATAACGTTTACTTCAGAAGAGTGGTTGGTAGGTTTGACACCTATTTTTTTTTAATCGCAAAACTTCTGCCCAATAACATTTTCATAATTAATAATTATCGTCAAAGATTTAGTTTTAATTTAATCAAAGAAATCACAGCCTTTCAGTACCCGTTAATAAAATGTGTCGCGATCCGTGTGCGTGTGTGTGTGTGTGTGTGTGTGCATGTGTGTGTGTGCATGTGTGTGTGTGTGTGCATGTTGTGTGTGTGCATGTGTGTGTGTGTGTGTGTGAAGGAGGGGAGGAGGGAAAGGGGATGTAACCAACTATTTCTTTTTCTCCTCAGTTCTTAATTTTAATGTTGGGCGGTATTTCCTCCAGCACAATTAAGTATTACGTGTCACCTTGTTTATGCGCCGTATAGGTCGTTGACTCCGATTTCAGCCTGCTTTTCAACCTAGCTCAGAATGAACCTTGTGAAGTAATCCATGGATCAAACCAACATATCCAACATATAATATATATAATGTGTACGACCACTGATGACCGTGACGAGTGAAACGGGAACTCTACTTTACCTACTAAGATTTAGTTCACTTTGTACGAATTACAAGCTTTATTTTTTTTTTGGTATGTCAAAAAAATATATCGTGAAATGTGTGTTAGTGTGTTAGTATGTTAGTGTGCTAGTGTGTTAGTGATTAGTTTATAAAAGTTCAAAGACATTTTTCGTTACGTTGCGCTAATCCTCTTGGATTAAATTTTATTAATTGTTTATTTCAAAGCTGGTTTTAGATTAGTTAGCCATAACAGGGTTAATCCAAAATAATACCTTATAAAATTAGACCCTGAGTGTTTTATGTTTAAATTCTCTCCCCCCCCCCCCCCTCCACCCCACTGTCCAGCAAATAGTTTTGTTTTAAAAAAGATCATGGGTTAAAAACAATAAAATATGGTATTTTCCCTTTTTTTTTTTGGGGGGGGGGGGGGGGGTGAGGAGGGATACATTTTGCGGAAACCCTGTGGTGTCTATAATCATTAGGCTGTAGGAGTCCCTCTATTCACGCCGCCCTCGGCCTGTTCGTTTAGTTCATGAAGAGTCATTAAACCGGGGAAAAAATATTCCATCTAACAAATTGTCTGCTTTTATTTATAACTCGATTATAAACTGGCATTCAAATAGAATTTTAAAATTATGCTCCATGTTGCACGATCTAAAGCAAGGGATGGGTTAATAGTTTATGTTTAATTTTAAAATTATGCTCCATGTTGCACGATCTAAAGTAAGGGATGGTTTAATAGTTTATGTTTAATTTTAAAATTATACTCCTTATTGCACGATCTAAAGCAAGGGATGGGTTAATAGTTTATGTTTTTTTTTAAAATTATACTCCTTATTGCACGATCTAAAGCTAGGGATGGGTTAATAGTTTATGTTTTATTTTAAAATTATACTCCTTATTGCACGATCTAAAGCTAGGGATGGGTTAATAGTTTATGTTTTATTTTAAAATTATACTCCTTATTGCACGATCTAAAGCTAGGGATGGGTTAATAGTTTATGTTTTATTTTTTAAATTATACTCCTTATTGCACGACCTAAAGCTAGGGATGGTTTATAGTTTATGTTTAATTTTAAAATTATACTCCTTATTGCACGATCTAAAGCTAGGGATGGGTTAATAGTTTAAGTTTTATTTTTTAAATTATACTCCATGTTGCACGATCTAAAGCTAGGGATGGTTTAATGGTTTATGTTTAACTTTAAAATTATACTCCTTATTGCACGATCTAAAGCTAGGGATGGTTTAATGGTTTATGTTTAACTTTAAAATTATACTCCTTATTGCACGATCTAAAGCTAGGGATGGTTTAATGGTTTATGTTTAATTTTAAAATTATACTCCTTATTGCACGATCTAAAGCTAGGGATGGGTTAATAGTTTATGTTTAATTTTTTTAAATCTTTCATACACGTTCTGGTTGAACACAGATTTAGTTAAAACTTGGTGCAGATCAACGCTGCGCATGAAAAGATTCCCGCCTTCTGCCATACAACATTAATAACATGAACAATCCCAACGAAAAACAGCGACAATATGAACGAATATTTACGATCCAGAAATAAAAACAACTTCAAAGCAAAATTGTGTTCTCCTGCTATGCCAACCAGAGGCGTAGCAATGGGGGGGGGGGGGTGCAGGGGGTACATATGTCCCCGTGCGCCGACCTTAGGGGGCGCCAAAATGGGTTGTAAAAACAAATTAAAATCTCATTTTAGCTGCATGTTTGCAGTTTGATGGGGGGGGGGGGGGTGCAAATCGAAAGTTTGAGGGGGGATGCAAATAGGAAATTTGCTCCCGAGGGGGGCGCCACAAATTGAAAGTTTGTCCCCGGGCGCCGGGAAGGGTCGCTACGCCTCCGATGCCAACACAACACTCCTCAAAAAGGAACATACAATAATTTGTG